GGGGGGGGAGGGGGGGGGGGGGGTAAGGGGACCTCTTTTGGGAGCAGAGAAGGGTTTATATACTGAGAGAGAGAGAGAGAGAGAGAGGTAAGGGGAAAAATCAGCGGTGAACATGGGCTTAGTGAAAATTGTTTCTCTGATGACGGGGAGGCCTCTGGAGTGGATGAAATGTGCAAACATTTTTTTGTTATGGAAAATACTATTTTTCATGTAATTTAATAATTTCATTTAAAGAATTAATTAATTATAATTATTCAATTAAAAGTGAATTTAACTAAACATCGGAACTCAAACCTATTACATCTTCACGTTAAATTTCTATAACATTTTTTTTTTCATAAAAAAAAGGGTTTAGGAGTCACCCCTCCTTAGAGCATTTGCAAGAGAATGACTAAAATTCTAAAAGAATTAAAATTTAATTATTTAAAAATAAAATTCATATTCCAACATAAGATGTCCAAAATATGTAAAATACAATTTATTTAGAACAGCACCATAATATTATATATAAATAGTTTATATTATATTCTCCCTCTTCTTGTCATTTTCTTACATCTTTTGTCCAGTCTTTATCTATTTCTCTATTCTATCTCTCTCTTCTTCCAACAAAAGTACAAAATATGATAAATAATATTAAAAAAAATAATTAAAATATAGAAAATCTGTTAGAGTATATATTAAAAAAGTGAATAACTAAAATAAAAAAAATTATACTTTTAGATAACTAAAATACAAAATTTTATTAGAGATGCTCTAATACTTTTTTTGCCCAAATACACTTAACTGCAGAGTTTTAATGAGATTCGATTTATTAGTGCTTGTTTGATATACCCATTAAATCACTATAACATTACTATGTTGTTATATGATTATTAGTTGTATTATATTTGTTGCCACATGAGTATTATTGCACTAAGATTTTTTTTTTCTAATATTATATTTTTCAAATTATAATAATTTTTAGGAAGTTTTGCAACACTGATTAAATATTTTACCAATTTTTTTTTGAGGTTGCCATATCATTTGAGATTGAGATTTAGTATAAAATTTAAGATAAGTATAATTTTATAAAAAAATGCAAGATATGTGAAGTTGTTTTTGGTTATAATTTTAGTTATAATTTAATTTTTATAATTACAAATAAATTAGAGAACCATTTATATCCAAAAATAACAAAATTTAGTAATAAAATATTATTTTGACCTAATCCGAGAACTTCATTCAATGCACCCATAGAATTAAAGATGGACTCAATTTAACATTGGAATTTCACAATTGTTGACCTAATGATGTAGTTTTATTAGAACCATTGAATTAACACTAAATTTTAATATTTGATGGAGTTCAAAGTCAATTTAATGGTTATAATGAATTAGGGACGAGCGGTAAATTCAGATATCTTCAATTCGAATCTTGACAATCTCTTGAACCCCAGACCATGAGAGATTTATCTTTCATGAATACCTTAGTCTCCGCATTGATAACTTTGCCTTTGACTAAACCAGGGAATGAATTAGTTGATATATGCATAAACTGGTCTGGACATCCTCGATTGTTGAACCAAAAGAAGAAAAGTTTATAATGAATTAGATCAACAAATTAAGTTAATAAATTAAATTTCAATAGCGTTACTCAAATTGAATTATGTATTCGACTAAATCTCCAAATTAAGTGGTGAACATTTTATATATAGTATTGGGAAATTACATTTGGGTAGGATGGAACTGTCTAGCACCAATTGTTTAGGTTTGAACAGCATAATTGACTTGGTTTGACTCATTTATAGTCCTTAGGGACATAATTAGTGGTCTGTATTAATTATAAACTGCACATACTCCTGATCAATCGAAGCATTTGTTGTCCTAAAGGGACACATATAATCAAACATTTGTTTGACTTTAGACAATTGGTTGGTTCTCATTAAATGATATAAAATAGTAGTAGTTTGCATATGTTTTATCCCACTTTGCACATAACTCTATAATCAATCAAAATTGTTTATTGCAAACAAGGACATTAATATATGCAGTTCATATAATGCACCCTTAAAAAATACTTATATATTCAAATCAAGTGCTTTTGGCCTTAGTTCCCTTCTTGATTCTCCTAACTTATATTTAACAAATATTAAGACATTCCAACCACAATGGCAACTACCCAACTTGTTATATTGTAATGGATGAATTGCGTATTGTACCTTAAAAGATTTTAAAATTCTCATTTTATACTATCAAAGATTAATTTTTTTATATTACATCTTTAATGTATCAGAAGAGTTTTAATGTCATCATTCTGTTAGTTTTTTCGACAATGTCAACGGTGTGATTTTTGATGAAAAAAATAAAAGAAGTTAACAGAAGAACTATATTTCAACATTTTTGATACATTGAAAGTATAATGTAAGAAATTTAATCTTTAAATATATAAAGTGAAAATTTTAAAATTTTTCCGGATGTAAAGTGCAAAACATCCTATTGTAACGAGCTAGATTTTAATAAGGGGATGGTCACAATAAGTGAAGCCTTATTTATTTTTGTTGACGGGGGTACTAAAACCAAGGTTCCAATAAAACTTGCCCCTAAGTGTAATTTTCTTAAATGGTATAGGCATCTATGAAGTTCAGACAAACGGGTTAGCCCGTTAACCCAACGGCCTATAGGGTCATAGGCAAGTTTTGATAGGCTATATATCTCAATGTTTCTTTCGAGGTGGTTTTTTTGTCTGTTTTGCTTGACAGATTGACCCGATTAAGACTCACTCACAAAGACATCCCAACCCATTGACTCTGTGACATCAATTACTTTTGCAATGGATCATCTATCAATTCCAATAATTGATATAGAATTTAGGGTAAGACTCTGGTCTTAGGGCAGTTAGCACATTAAAAATTACAATTAATATAAACTAATTACAAGATATATGTTAGTGAATTTCTCATGTAATAAAATAAGTTGTAGAGATAATTAGTCGAAATGCGCATAAATTGATTCAAACACTCCTAACTGTTCAACAAAATATAAAAAAAATAGTAACAAAAGGAAGAATAAGAATCACTTATAAATATCAACATCGATACTAAATATTTTAATTTTACCAAAATTTTTACAATCATAACTTTAATTCTTAACTTATAGTAACTTGCATGCGAATCTTAAAGTACTTTGGATTCAAATATACCCTAATATTTGTTTTTAATATTTTTGTTGGCAAATTATTTATCATTAATAAGTGAGAATTTTTCTTGTTAATATATATATATATATATATATATATATATATATATATATATATATATATATATATATGGAGAGAGAGAGAGAGAGTATTTATAATATAAAACAAGACAGCTTTCAATAAGTTCATACGACGATTTCAATCACTAATATTCCTCTTAAATTATTACCGTGTTTTTAAACATGATATATCCCTAGTGGTGTGATAAGTTGGGGATAACACCATAGTATCGAAAAGTTTTTTTTTTGGTCTCAAACCTCTAAATAATTTTCGGTTTTTAATTTTTTGCAATTTATCTTTAACTAGAAAATAGGCAAACTTCAATAAACTAATCCAATGATCTCAAATAAACTTATTCAACTATCACTGACATTCCTCTTAAATTTTTACCGTACTTTTAAAAACGAGTTACTTTTAATGGTGTGATAAGTTGGGAATAAAACTATATAACCGAAAAGTTTGTTTTTGGGTCTCATATCTCTACATAATTTTGGGTTTTTAATTTTTTAAACTTATTTTTAACTAATAATTATAAAAATAATAAATTAAAATAAATAATCTTTACACGTGTCAAAATTTTATTGAAATATATATTTATATCTATATAATAAAGTAACTTACAATTCAAATCTCAAAAGATAAACAAAATGACTTTTGTTATTCGCGGTTGAGATCGCTTTAAATTTTACTTTAAGCTAATCTACTGGTTAATATTAACGCCCTAAATTGAATAGAAAAAATAGATCCCTAAGAGTATGTTTAGAATGACTTTTAAAAAATTATTCTCATAAATAATATTAAAAAAATAGTGTTTGAAACCGTCCCACCACTACCTCTATCGCCCCCGCCCCTGCCATCGCCACCACCACTGCCACTGCGGTCACCACCACCATCATCGTCGCCGCCACCATCACCACCCCCACTGTCACTAACACCACCACCACCACCACCCTCACCACAACCATCTCCACCCTATATTTTCTATGTTTATGATTTGATTTTAGATATGAATACAAATATGTTTATTGTTTACTATTTTTTATTACCCTGTGCCTTCAGCTTTTCACGGCTCAGATCGTTTGACAATTATTAATCCGATGGTTCTCATGTCAAATTGTTCTAAGACTCTTATTGTTTATCTAACTCTCTTTATATCTATCTTAGACTCTCTTTCTCTCTCATATTATTATCTTATTTTTTTTGTTTTCTAAGAGTTATTTTTTTATTATTTACTCTATAAAACATATGAAATTACATGTTATACAATTATTTATTTCATAAAATTAATTCAAAATTTTATATATCAAATAACATATATTTTGTCACTTGCTTCTTAATTTATAAATAACACTTAATCTAAATAAAATATAGTACACATTTTTCACGATTTGAAGACTTTTTTTATATGAGTTTCACATGTTTGCCTGAAATTAGGTCTTAATTGATTAAAAACCTAAATTCCTCTAAAATTCTCATTGACAATGGTTTTTATATAGATTATTTTTTTAGTTTTTTTAATGTTTGTTATATTTGTTATAATTTTGGTACTAAATTTTTTTGAACTATCAATTTTTTAAAATTTTTTGTCAACTTTTTAATTAATTTAACTTATTTTCAATTGAACTAGAGATTTTTAAGTTTAATAAGTGGAGGTGAGTGATTCTCTTCAAAAAAAAAAATAGGGGTGAACAATTGGTTTGGTTTGGTTTAAGTATGTGTGGTCAAATCTTAACCAAAAGAAAATTTATCAAATGATATAGTAAGAAAGAATACGTTATGCTATGAAAAAATCTATATTTAAATTTTATGGGTTAAAATACAAATTTTAAGTTTATATACAACAAAAAAAATTACAATTTAAGGTCAATTTCATGTTGGTTTAATCAACACCAAATAACATTCAATACGAAATGAACCTTAAATTGTAAATTAATATATATTTTTATCAAAAATTAACATTTAATTTTGTCCAATTTATATTCAACTTTGACGAATTAATATCAAATTAATTTTTATTGTTATCAAATTAATATTAAAATTCATTTAAT